CCAATTCATCATATGCGAGAGGTGTGCTTTGTGCTTCCTGTTGACACACAGCAAATCAACTCTCCAAAGACATCAATGTTCGGATCACCTAACTTCACGAAAACCCAGGCCAAACAATTCCATTTTTTTTTCAGATGCAGATGCGCGATTATGGTAACATAATAGAAGTGGGAAGACCCAAATTTTAACCTCCTCTTGGGACTGGCAACCAGCTGGGTAGTTATTCCACCTCAGCTCTAACCAGCATCATGCTCTCCGATATATCAATTGACTAAGATTCATAGACACACACATACGTCCCGTCATGTTTTGCTAAGCTTTGCTGTGCTAAGAGGTAAGCACGGAGCAAAACCTCTTTCCACAGAAGCCATTTCACAGAAGGAACAGGAAACTGCCAACAGGTTGAGGATCTTCTGCTGTGTTACGCCCCTGTTGGAATCTGATTCGGAGGGGGAGGCCGAGCAACTGACAGGGAGTGGGAGTGTGGCTCCATTGGCTGGGGAGGAAATTGGAGAAGGGCAAAGTCCAGCTGGGCAGAGCAGGAGAGAGGTAGAGCAAGGGAGAGGGAATTTGGAGGAAGACCCAGGCTCATCCTCTCTTCATCCTAGGGGAGTGGTGGCTAACCTTTTTGGGCTCCTGTGCCAAAAATTGTGCGCATGCTTGCATGCTCGCACTCATGTGCCAGCACCCAGAAGGCAATGTCCCTCCTTGCCTCCTACAGATGTGTATGTAATCCCCACCCCTCCCCCCTTACCTGCACCTCATAGCTGATTTTTAGCCCATTTGAGGCTTTTTTCGGCCTCCCAAAGGCTTGAGGAAGGCTTCTGCAGGCTTTGCAGGCCGAAAACTAGGCCTGTTTCATCACTTCTGGTATTTTCAGAAAAACAGGAAGTGATGAAATGAGGCTAGTTTTCGGCCTGCAAAACCTGCAGAAGCCTGCAGAAGCTGGGAGGCTGAAAAAGGCCAACTGGCCAAAAATCAGCTGTGAGGCGCGTGCATGCCCAGTGAGGTAAGTTTGCCTGCAGTTCATGTGCTGGCACAAATGGCTCTGCGTGTCACCTGTGGCACGTGTGCCTATAGGTTTGCCATCACAGTCCTAGGGCATGCAAGGAGGAACAGAGAAGAGAGTAATGTGGGTTGCGTAGCTTACAGGGAAGGAAAGGGCCCTGATTCCCTTCATTAGCTGCAGCTGGGAACACAGTGTTTAAAAAGGGAAGCTGAGCACAGCAAGTTGTTGGGAGCAAATCATGAATTATCTGATATCATTGAGGCTTATCTGTGTTCCTGCCATCTTCCCAACTGTGTGTGTTTTGCTGTGCTTTCAATTCCTTCTCCTGCCCTGCCAAGTTAATTACTGCAGTGTGGTTTGTTTGGATTTTTAATTACAGTTTGCAAGTACTTTGTTTTCGGACTGAATTTCCTCCATTTAAAGGCTGTTCCTGGGAGAGTTTTCCTCCAGCTGAAGGTAACCTGAACATTGGAAGCAAAGTTGGAGATAATAAAGGTTTACTCTTCTTGCTTATTTGACTGTGTTGCCTTTGTGCCATGCCCTGGGTCATCACATGCTGTTTTGAACAGCAAAAGCAGTGGATTCCAACAAGACATTTTTAAAAGAAAGGCTGTTTCTGCTTTCTCACCCTCCCACTCTCCCTCTCTAGTTGTTATTTTTGGGCAGACGATGTCTTACCTATTGTATTATGACATTTTGACGGATTACAATATCTCTTGGCTGCTACTTGTATTTTATTTATTTTCTGCATTGTGTTTTAATTGTTTTTATGTCTAGATTCTAAGTCATCCAGGTCTTGGTTGTCTCAAAAGGCAACTGGACTTTATTTTTCATTGAAGATGAAATTTTGCTTCTCATCCAAGAAGCTTCTTCAGTTCTGACTGAACAGTGGAAGAAGGAAAGATTTATATTTTCTGCAGTCATCTGGTCATTCGCATTCTTTCTGAGTCGCTGAGGCCACTTGGAAGTTTATCTCTGTCCTCAAGGTCATCTGAATAGTACAAATGGATATGGAACCTTCTTGGAACTGCACAGATAAATACAATTGACGATTTCCCTCAGTATATGGTACAGATATAATATCTATAACATAGATATTACATTATTCTATTCACTTTCTCACTTTATATTTTTAAAGTAATAATATATATGATATATAATATGCATTGCTATATTTATTTGTAATATACGATATATGTTTTTTATATGCATGACATACTTTTTATTATTTGGGAAATGGTCTCAGTTTTTAAACAGAAACAATAATTGCTGGAGAAGCTGTCCACCAGTCACAATTTATAAGTAATTAAAATGCTTTCTATCATATCAGCTTCTAGCAATCCTATAATCAGACATAAAACCTTTTAAAATTCTTTAAAGCCAATCTGCAGGTTTACTAATAAAAGAAATACTGCAATAGTCATTGTTTCTCTGTCTTATAAAAGATTTTTGTGTTCTAATTAACCATCAAGGCTAAACTAATAAGCAGTGGTCTGTATATTTTAAAAGGTAGACAAGCTATGGTTTATTTTTTGGGCTCTAATGAGCCTTGATAAAATCTTTGGTGATGGGTATAGTCTCATCTAATTAGTCCTCCAAAAATAAAGAAAATCATCTTTCTCATGCTTTTGAGTTTCCCAGCTCTGAGATAGTGTATGTTTTTAGTAATTGTTTCACAGTGTTTTCACACACCTTTTCTCTCCCTCTCTCCTTCTCCCTCTCCTTCTTTCCTTCTCCCTCTCCTTCTGCCCTTCTCCCCCTCTCTTTCCCCTTCTCCCTTTCTCTCCCTTCTCCCTCTCCCTCTCCCCTTCTCCCTCTCTCCTTCTCCCTCTCCTTCTCTCTTTCTCCTTCTGCCTATTGAGATGAGGTGAACCAGTTGCTTTTGTGGTGTGGAGACAATAATTTGGTCCTCAACACCAATAAGACCAAGGAGCTTATAGTGAGCTATAGAAGGAACAGATCAGACATCCAGCCCTTACTTATCAATGGAGACCGAGTGGAGCAAGTGGCCAGTTTTAAGTTTCTGGGTGTTACCCTAAAAGAGGACCTGACCTGGGGTGCCCACATTGCAGCCCTGGTCAAAAGCAGAGATTATATGGCCTGAGACTTCTCAGAAAACAACAACTGAATGAAAAATTGCTGGTGACCTTCTACCACTGCACCATAGAGAGTATCTTAATTTACTGCACCCCTGTGTGGTTTGCCAATTGCACAGGGGCAGATACGACAGCACTCCAGAGGGTTAACATCATTGCCCAGAAGATCATTGGTTGCCCTCTTCCCTCTTTGGAAGAGTTTTATAGCTCCCGCTGCCTTAAGAAAGATCCATCTCATACTGGGAACCCTTTTTTTTGAACTATTACCATCTGGCAGACGATACAGAATAATAAAAACAAGAGCAAAGAAGCTGAAAAACAGCTTCTATCCCAGGGCAGCAGCTCTTTTGAATTCTGCTGTATAGTGCAGTGTTGGTGTGGTGTCAGAGGTTTTCGGTTCAATGTGTGAAGAGTGAACGGTGTGTGTTTGTGTTTATTTTCATGGTCATGATGTGCACTGAAGATGGTGTTTGATTTTGTTGTAGGAGGTGCAATGACAATAAAGTAAACTAACTAACTAATTCCCTCCCCTCTCCCCTTCTCATTCTCCCCTTCTCTCTCCCCTTCTCCCTCTCCTCTCCTCTGCCCTTTTCCTTCTCCCTCTCCCTCTCTTCTCCCTCCCTCGCCTTCTCCCCTTCTCCCTCTTCTTCTCCCTTT